TGCATTGATCTACACCATCTAATTTATTTGGCTATTGTAAATTTTATAATATTGTTTTTTGACACTGCCTTAAAGATGTGGCAAATCTACAACGTCCAACTAAAATAGACAAGAGTAGAACATCACAACCTTATTTCTACAATGAGGTTGCCACCTTATATAAAACCCCACCCTTGAATTTTTTACACCAAACAAAAAATGAAGCTTTTATTTATACACCCATCGTAATCTAATATTGAAGATTGTTATAATCAATCTCATTATGTTAGGAGTATATATTTGAATCCTTTTCTTGGATATACTTTATTTTGACTCTGGCAAACAAAAAATAGAAAAAAACTGAAAATTAGTTTTACGGGGGAAGATGTCATTAGGTCGCACACATGGAATATATGAAACTAAAATCAGTTTTTGTTTTTTTAAACCTTGATATCAATTATCCAAAATGTGTAATTAAACAAATCCCATTTGGATGATGTCCTTGGGTCGCATACATGGAATATATTGAAAGAGTGGGTGTACTCGAGCTTTCCCCTATTCTAAATGAACATACAAATTTGACATTCTTTCCACATCATAAGTGTTTGAAAATCCACAGCCACTCGATTATTGCCATCGTGATATCTAGGAGTTCTTCTGAGTAGAGTTCCCAACTTGTTGGCCCTGCTTTCATTGACCTTCTTGATAATAGGGTGGTCTTCTCCTCGACTTTCAAGATGCCTTCATCAAGTAGGTTTTAGATCTTGTGCCTAAGAGTGAGGCATTCCTCTTGTCGTAGGCATTATTTCTAGAGCACGGCATATTGTAGAAATGCATATTTCGCAATAAATATATATTTTAAATATAATTTGATCATAATTTTTAGAGAATATTAATCTTTAACATGGAGGTCATGAATATGAAAAAAAAAAAAAATTAAAATTAGAAATAATATTTACATTAAGAAAACACTTGTTTTAGATGAACCAGCTGTTTGCATTCATCTTTAAGATGGAAGTTCTATACTTCTAGACTACATATTGTAGAAATGTGGTCTAGCCCGCATGAAACAATTTTTCTGATTTCTATGCCACTCACTCCACTTAGACTTATCCTGTAAGGGAAGGAAGGAAATCAAGCTGTATGCAATTCAACGATCCTATGCTCAAGTAGTTTTCTAAGGATGCTACTCATTGGCTTGTTGATGGGTGTGATTATCTAAGAGTGGTACTTTGTTCATGCCATGTGTGTGAATGAGACTTGATTGGCTCGATCGGTTTCAAACTCTTTGCACACCTCTTTGCCGATTCATAGTGTTTGACTCTTTCTAACATGGAGTAAAATGAAAAGGGCATATGCCCTTGGCTGAAGAATGTCTTGATGGTGAGGTTGATCTTTGTGGGATCAGAGAGTGGGTACTCAAGGACCTGAGAAGTGTTCTCTTTAAAGTGCACGACGTAGTCAATGACTGATTCGCCAAGTTTTTACCTTGTAGGGGTTAGTTCACCTAGGGAGACTGGCATAGGTCATACCCCATGATAATGGTGAATTGTCGGAACATTTAACTAGGAGGGCTTTGGATGAGTCTTCATGATCCCTTTATGACACAAGAGGGGCTCATCAGAGAAGGTATACTGAAATATTGCTTTAAGTTGGTTAGGCCTGAATCACAGAGCCAACACTGAGAGTGGGTAGGCCTGGACATGCCCGTCTGAATCCCCTTTCCCAAAAACTTATTCTTGAACCCAGGCTTTATGAATCTCATTGGTAAATCTTCGAGATTTTCCTAGGTATTCTTGTACAAAGTCCTTGAGGGTCTGGAAATGGTAAATCCTCATTCTCTTGTGAAGGGCTTTCATATTTTCTTCCATTTTGGTTAACTTAGCCATCAGCACCAGAGTGACTGGGCATGGCTGGCTGGTTGCCTATCTTGGACTAGAGTACATGGATTAGCAGTCTACAACTCACCTGCGGTGTCTGCTGGAGCTGTTGGGTAGGTTGCCCCATGGGTGGAACTCGGGGAAGTGGCTAGTTTTGATGTGTTGGTTATTGGCTAGTGAGGATGTTGAGTGAAATTGTTCATTCGTCGGATGTCCGAATGATGTACTACTGACTTGCTAAGCTATTGAAGGAAACTTACAAGACCAGTTCTCCAATGGATATTTGGGATCAGCCCCCATAATTGCTATGATAGCTAGAGGTTCAATGGGAGGACCTAGGCCTTTGAGGTGGCTTGGTTTATTGGGTCCAGGTCTCCTTGGCATGAAGGCTGGTGGCTAGAACCAGAATTCTAGCTATATGCTCTAGTTATGGGAATGGACATTGGTCTGTGCTTGACCGCAAGAGTTAACTCAGCTAGGGCTAGCTAGTACGAGGTTGTTCGAGGGTCCCACCTCCACTCAACTAGACTAACTTGGTTGAGTAGCTACTAGCTCCTGTGGGAGTGCTCCATGGCTCACCCCTCGTCTATTTAGCGTGTTGTGGACCATCTCAATATGGTGGCCCATGGTTCCTGGGTATTACTGACCATGATACCTAGTTGTATTCCTATGTGGGTGGAGGTCTGACCTCGCCACTATGGTGTCATGGATTCGAAGGGCATGTTTCCCCTGGTCTGATGGTTCAATGTCCCCAGACCTAGAAGGGGATGAAGCCACAGACTCACTATGTGAGCTGTACCTCACCCGAGTTTGGTTATGGGACATGGGAGTTGGTTTAGCTTAACCTAGCATAAACGAGCTAAGCATAGCACCCAACAAAAAGGTTTTAACCAATTCAACATAATTTCTATACTTGAAGGTACAAGACACTTGCTTCCAAAATGACAATATAGTTTTGTGAAAATTTCTAGGTATTGTTACTTAATAATTAAGTTGTATTAATTTTGAAAAATTACTTATAGACATAAGGTTGCACTGATCTACTCCATTCATTTTATTTGCCCAGTATAAATTTCATACTACAAAAGACATGTAACTTATTTACACTGTCTTAATGACATGTCAAATCTACAATATCCAACTAAAATAGATGGTACAGAACATTGCAATCTTATTTTTATAATGAGGTTGCCACCATATATAACCACACCCTTTAATTTTTTTACACCAAAAAAAAATTAAGTGTTTATTTAGGAAAAAGTTTATATAAGGATGCAACCATATAATGTAGAACTATGGATGCACCTCAAAAATCCATTGAAAAAGGTAGTTTTAATGTAGAAAAACCCATTGATTGATCATCTCGACATCGAGATGTACGACCATGAAAAATAAACAGATTTTAAGTCTCAGAAATAGTGCATTTTACAACATATTATCCACACCGTCTATTTTCAAGATTTTCATATGTTTATAGATCTACTTGATTTTAACCATTTTTTAAATTTAAAATTTCATAATTAGATCTAAAAATAGATTTTAAAATAATCCTAAAAATATTTTATATCAAAATTATATACCATGATAAAATTTGAAGGTGCACCTTACCTCTACAACTACGGATGCATCCATATGCCAACTGCACCCTTTTATTTATAAACCCATCAAGATCTAAAGTTGACTTTTGCTTTTTAGTGGTTCTTAATTATAATCAAGCTCATTATGTTAGGAGTATTTATTTGAATCGTTTTCTTGAATACAGATCATCATGACTCTAGCAAACACTCCAATGAAAGTTTTGGAAAAATATATATATATATATAAATTAAATGTACCAAGGGATGATAAAATTGGGTAATATCGACCATATATTTTGGTGCAGTACTCGAGCAAAGGTTAGATATTTCCAAAACAATATTTCTTTCAAAGTATTTATCTATTATTTTTATTAGTCATTTAAAAATGTGTAATTAAATAAATCCCATCAGATGATGTCCTTGTATCTCATACTAAAGCTTGGGTGTAGTCGCAAGTGTCTACAACCACTTGATCATTCTCATCGCAATATTGAGCATTGTGTATGTAGTTTTTTATTTGGGTAGTTCAATAGAGATGGAGTCCCTAATCCATAATAAAATAAAATTCAATACGTAGACAACCTGCCACTTTAACCTCCTAGCCGTGACTCCATCCTTTATGCATCTCTCGCATGTATCTAGTGGCCCCATGCTAATTTTTGTTTTCATGTGGCCGTAAACAGCAAGTTTGCAAGAAACAAAATAGGGCTTGCACATAAAATAAAGTATGGCATTTGGCTAGGCTAAGCATATAATGTCTTTCTTGGCAGTGAGTCGATTTTATGCGTATATGCTATGTGGAATATGTACTTTTACTTCTTTTTTTAATTATTTAATATATATAATATATGTGCTCCTACATCAAGATTCTATCCATGAAGAACAGGCCAATGCCCATTGGGGATCCATGTACACAAAGATTCTCGTGTTGATCGCCTGCAACAAGACACCACATCTAGTTATCAGACAAATGAGCATCTCATTTCTCATCTTCAAATCGTATGTGATTTGTACTTTGGAATAAACCTCACATGATAAAGAACTCACATAATGCCCTAATCCACCATGCCCCATCTTTCTCACTCTACCATCTCAATTAGAAACCTTTTATACATTTCTTTCTCTCTCTAAAAGCCCAATTGGAAGGCTCCTATACATTTTTTTCTCTCTCTCATCATCGGATTCTTTTTCCAATTATTTGGGGTCTGCTATTTCTTGCTCTCTTCAACTATTATCTCAATTGTAAACCTCTTATATATTTCTCTCTGATAGCCCAATTAGAAGGCTCTTATATATTTCTCGCTCTCTCTCGCTCTCATCGTCATCAGAGCTTTTTTCTAACTATTTTGGATCGGCTATTTCTGTCTCTCCAACAGCTAAATTGGAAGGTCCCATTCTTTCTTACAACAGTGAAGCAAGGTTACCCATTGAGAGAAGAAAGGAGCATCAAGGTTACCCATTGAGGGAAGAAAGGAGAAAATTTTGCATGCAACTAGCATGCCAATCTAGTGAGGAGAAAACATTGCATTTTGAAGAAGTTAGGAGGAGAGAGAAAATGGGGTCCATGGCTTTTGGAAAGCCTATGGTATGGGGGCAAGGCAGCAAGGAGATGGTTAGAGTTGGTGAGAGTGCAGGAAGCAAGAAGATAAGGGTGGTAGAAGTAGGGTTTGGTGGTGTGGAAGAGATTGTTAAGAAGCAATCATCATACATGGCAAAGAGGCAGAGGGGACCTCTCAATAAGCCGCAGCCGCAAGGTGGAGGCTTCCTCGAGCAAGCGTATGACAGATGCCGGCAGATCTGCAAAGAGTATGCTAAGACTTTTTATCTAGGTCAGTGTCAAACTTCCTTGTAATAAAGATAAATAGTCTCATAGTATACAATCCTTATATATTTATGTTGTTTATCGGATATATCATACTTTTTTCTTGAGCTTTTGAATGTATCATGCATTGCTCATCCTTGTTGCCTAAAATTTGTTTAGGGACACTGCTGATGACCCCGGAACGACGCAGAGCAATCTGGGCCATCTATGGTGAGATTCTAAATCGTTTTTTCTTGCGACTAACCACAGTCGAATCCTACTGCTGAACTAACTCCCATTCAATCATGACCGTTCATCAAAACCAAGTATGATAATCGTGCGACTTGATCCAACGCATGTGCTGCTGTAGGAGAGAGCACTTTATGCATGAATATTTCATGTACAAATGCACTTGATCTCCATCAAGTGGTTCAACCAAATCTATACTTAATCAAGGTTTAAGGCACCCTACTAATAACCTAATTGAGATTAAAAGTAATAAGCAAATCTACTCTACACTTAATCAAGGTTAGCATTTTTTGTTACTGTTAATGGGTGGTGAAGACCGGCTCTCTTATGGTCATGTTAAACAAGCATCCACATAATTTATGTAAAATTTTAAATGGTGAGGTTTGTATAAGGTGCCCACATTATATTTATACACGCACGGCGCAACTCTAAATTTTGCTAGAAGATGTGGTACGATGTCTTGAAAAATCCAGGCTTAACACTAATTATGAATTTCAAAATTTCAAAAATGGTGTTGATCGAACATATCTATAAGCACTTGAAAGTTTTGAAAATAGACAGTCAAGATAATTGTTACAAGTATTTCTAGGGCTTAAAAATTCTTTTTTTCTTTATATGCATACATCAGGAGGTTGAGATGATGAATTGAAACGTTTTCCAACTTCAAAAAGTTCTTTTTTATTGGATTCTTGAGGTGCACCAAACTTCTATTGTATAAGGTGGCAAGCTTATACAAACTTTTTCCATATTGTATATAATAAAATTGGAGAGAACAGTGTGGTGCAGGAGGACAGATGAGCTGGTTGATGGCCCGAATGCGGACCACATGAGCGTCAGGGTCCTAGATAGGTGGGAAGAGAGGCTCCAAGACATCTTCAGCGGCTGCCCTTATGACATGCTTGACGCTGCTCTTGCTGATACTCTTTGTAAATTCCCCGTAGATATCAAGGTGAAAATTTTGGTTGTTGGTTGCTTCATAATTCATTTGATGAACTACTCTTGTGAACTCACTCATCACCAATGTTTTAAAAACCAATGATTTTCGATTTAGACCAGGACTGAAATGGATCTTGAATGGTATAGGTCCCAACCCCATTCTCCCTTAAACACCCCCCCACAATAGTTTTATTTTTTTAAAATTAAATCCTATGAATATCTATGTTAATTTTGTATTTTATTTTATTTATCTTTAAAGAAATTTTAATTTTTTTTTATGTGACCATGGTGGTAGGAGTAGATAAAAAATTACAATAAAAATTTTTAGTTATTTTATTTATTCTATTATGTCTAATTAAACTCCCACATAAGAAATCTACATTTTCTTATGTCCGATTAGTTTTATATTTTATTTCCCACCATTGAGCTAAGATCATGGTGGTAGGAATTCGAATATTGATGTATGTTTAGACTTTTAGTAACTAACAAATTATTGTAACCACATATAATCTGATTTTTCTTGCAATTTCAAACAACTATTGGTAGCGTGATGGTAGGAGTGATGCACACGGGTAGTTCGATTGGGTACCCTACTTGGTCCATGCACTTGGTGGGAAGCGCTGTCAGGCCGGGCCCTGGAAAGGCCCAAAAAAGCCGGTCCAGCCCGAAAATATGTCAAAAAGACTGGCTCAGCCCTGAAAAACTCGATTGGGCTGGGCCTGGGCCCGGTCTGGCCCATTAAGAATATTTTTTTTTCCTCTCTCCCCCTCTTCCTCTCTCTCTTTTGTTCTTTTTTTATCCCACTCTTATAATAAGAAATAAGCCAAAAAACATAAATAT